GACATTTAAAGCTCGATTACAAACAGTACATGTACTGCTCAAAGTAGGAAATTTCCAGGCAAATTCCTAGATAATTAAAGACAACCCATTGCAAATTATACTTTATTAACACAGTTGTGTATAATACAAAAAAAAAAAGTTGAATCAAACACAGCCCATGGCCTCACGTGCACACACAATTTGCTGCCGTCCTAGTAGTTGATTTGTTGTCTGAAATGAGTCTGTAGTTTATTGCTTTTCACTCCCAGTTTCATCATGTATTTCGATTGCATCCGCTTTAAAAAGTGCACGTCTCTAGCGGTTTTTGCAGCCAATCGTTGATCAGTTTGAGACCAGCCCAGGGCCCTGTACGACGCCAACACCTTATGAAGGTGCTTGTCTTTCTTCAAGACAAGATCCATGTCCCTGTTAGGTTTGTAGAAGCTCTGTTTGTAGAATCGCATCAAGCTTCTGTGGCCGATAGTTACGCCCGAAGGAAGCACCAGTTTATAGTCGGACCCATCCAGCTCTGGCACTGCTACCTGTGGAGTGTTAATCAATAGCAATTTGCGTTGTTAGAGGTTGCGATGAGCGAACTTACCTCTTCATCTGGATTCGGATTGTCCGCAGCATCCGGATATGAGCGGGAATAGTCATAGTAGTCGACGTACTCGGCTAAGACAGCCCCTTCATGGACCATCTTGCAATGGCCTTTGTCGATCATGTGCGACCTGGCCGCTTCTGCCGACTTGAATGTTCTGCCCTTTTCGTTGCACCACAGGCACATGAAGCCTAAAAGCGCCCAAAAAGTTACCATCAGCGTTTCATTGAGCTCGAGCTTTACATACCTGCGGAGATCTTTGAACCTAAATAACTCAACAGCCCCTGTACATCGCTGCAGTACTCAATGTCCGGTATAAAAAAGCTGTGCACAATCGTCATGTGGTCCAGATTGTCCATAAAACTTTTGCTGTGTTTCAGGCAAAAAATGCAATCGTTGTTGTCGATCGGATTCTCCACATCATCCCAGTCATCTTCGTTTTCTCCTGGATCAATATTAATCTCTGTAGGTTCAACGGGAACAGGCGAGCGAGCCCGCGTGCTCTGCTCTGCCCCAGTAAAGTGTGCCGCTTTTTCCTTGTGCTTTTTGGAATTTATGTGATTTTCATATGCATTGTCAGTGCCGAAGGACTTTCGGCACACGTTGCAATATACGCCGTGATCTTTGGGCTGTAGATCGGCGATCCTTTTCGCTTCCAACTTGGCAACGAACTCTTCCTGTGAAAAGGGGAACAGCTTGGCCACTCTTCGCTTCAAGTTGAGTCTAAATTAATGAAATTTGCTGCGTGAGAACGGCATGGACTTACAAAATTTACAAAACCTTACCTGTGCCAGTCTGTTAGAAAGTGTGTAACTTGAATTTCAGGACTCAAGTACTGTACATTACAAGTCGTGCAAGTAAACGTACGTACGTCAAACTTACTTTCCATTGTTTAGTTTTAAGTAAATTGTAAAATAAGTAACGCTCTTCACTCAACACGTGCGATGTTGATCAGTCGGTGGTAACATAAACAATAAATCGCCAGCACAGGTTATCGACCATAGATGAAGACATAGACATCTATGACATAGACACAGGCCATAGTATGTAGTCTGTGGACACAGATCACAGAGGTTATAGATTGGAAACTGCCATATGGGCACTTAGCAGAATGCTATTTGTCGCTATTGTCTGCGGCTGCAAGCAAAACTAGACTCTAATTTCCACTGCTTGCAGAGGAAACTACTTTACCGGTTGAGTTCACATCGAAATTTAGCGGGAGATTTGAATTCAATTTATGCTGGCTGCAATCTCTGCTTAAGATCCAAAATATTTCAATCATCTCATAATGCTCTTTAATTGTGTAGTTTAACGAGTGATTCAATTAACGTCAGAATTATGAGGCATTGTGAGATGATTGAAATATTTTGGATCTTAAGCAGAGAGTGCAGACAGCATAAATTGAATTCAAATGCTGCTAAATTTGTGTGCTTGTAGAAACTAGTGATAATTGGGAAAAAAGCACATTTTTGTTTACAATAGGTAAGTATATTTTAAACTAAAAAACATAGAGGCATATTTAGTAATTGTATTGAAGTTATAACGTTAGTGTTCCAAAAAAAGCAAAAATTTACATACACATATTAAATAAGTTTAAGTTACATTAAAAATAATAAATATGTTAACAAATATGTAAGTGATCAGAAGTATCCAATTATTACCTGTTATTTTTTCAGTTACTTGATTTACATATAATTATTTTTTGTTATCGATGAGGTTTGGGAAATGGGCTCTCTTATGTACCTTCTAGAGCTGGCGCTGTGAGTTGTCTGGGACTGCAGTCTGGCTGTTTACTCACTAAAACCCTTCCGATTGTGGCCCTTATGTTATTATTATTATTATTTATACCTTACAAGTTGGTACAGTGCTGGTTGAATCGTGTTTCCTTTCTTGTTTCATCAAAGTCCTATTTTTGTTCAGTCCGATCCTCATTAAATACGCTTCAAATTCAGGGGTTTTGAAAAAACCGAGTTTTCTCATGTCTTCTATTACAGATTGATAAAGAGTGCTCTTATTTCACAATAAAGAACGAATTCTGACGTAACTAAAAAAGTTTTCTAAAGGGTCCTGAGGAAAAGCTCCTGTTAGAATAAATCTAAAGTTTTCTTTAACTAACAGTTTTGATCTTAGATGTAAAACGCCTCTCAGTGTAAACTTTAAGTTTTTCAAAGTTGAAACCATTACCCTCTTCTGTTTTTTAGGACAAAAAAACCATACTTTCGAGTATGGTTAGCGAATTGCGCCAAAACGCTTCATGTTCCGAATGTATTGTTACGCGATGTTTTAAAGGTTTGGCTTGACTTATTACTCTTCAGAACATTCAGGGAATCAAACAGCTGGTCGAGAAATAAAATAAGATCCGCGGTATCTACTGCATCAGGTGAAAGGCTAT